TTTAAAAAAAAAAAAAAAAATTAATTTTCTTTTTTTTTTGAAAAAAAAATGTTTTCTTTATTTTGACATATTTTGGAAGATCTGACCTTTTTTCAAAGCAATCGTACTGCTTTAACTGCATAAAGACGAAATATCAAAGCGCGTAAGCGCCGCGTCGCCGTCTAACGCGTAAACATTGGTACGGAACCCATAGGAATGTAAACAAAATTCATACTTATTGTTAAAATCTCTATAAAATATCTGATAATTTGATGTGCATATGTCTAATGATCATTTTTGACCGCCAAATGGCATTTTTTTTTACTTTTTTCATTAGATCTCCGAAACCGCTAGACCTGCCTTTATGAAAATTTGGTCAATTCTTCATCTTGTCAATACAAGTAAAACGTTTTTTGACTTATTCAAATTGGACACTCCGTTCTCTTAAAAACTGAGTTACCGTTTTCGGCACTTTTTGCCCCGTATCTTTGGAACGGCTAGACCTGTCTTTGCCAAAAACTAATCAGCACGTCTCCTTATCAATACGAATCGAATGTTTTTTGAATTATTCAAATCGGTTGATCCGTGTTCCCGAAATCGTCGACGAAAATTTGTATCCGCACATACATACACACACGCACATACATACATACATACACACACACACACACACACACACACATACATCCATTTTTTCTAAGGTATGCCAAAATGTTCAGAAACCTCTGAAACGCAAAGATATATAAAAATTTTCATTTTCGATTTTTTTGCGATTACTATAACTATCCCTACGGGAAGTTAAAAAGGAAACATACTTGGTTGTTATGATATAATATATGCATCGTCAATAATTCAAAATACTCATTTTCGAGTAGAAAAATATTTCCAAACATATTTCTATAAATGTGTTGTATGTTTGCACTAATACATTATAACAGACAAAGGTATTACAAATTTATGAGCATTTTTCACCATTTATGATATTTTGATTTAAAACAAAACATTTATGACATTTTATAGTATAATTAAGATTTATATTTTTGACATTTTATTTTTATAAAATATTTTATAGTATGATTTGCATTTTGAAGCCTCTATTACTTTTTTTATTTGTGAATTATGTTGGAGGTGTACTATCAAAAAAAGATAATAGATGCGTCATGACAGAACTTAAAAATCATATAAATAATTTAAAATATGAGCAGAATGGTATGATTGAATTTAGCATATATATTAAGATAGAGAAACCGTACACATATATAAATTAAGTTCAATTATTTTTATTTATTAATGTTGTATCATAAATGTTTCTAAGTTTTTAACTGATATTTTTACCAAGAAAATTTTGCATACAAACTTTTTTCAACCCACATCTTATTTTTATTGTGCTTTATTATAGTCTTAATTCAGATATGTAAATTTATTAATATAATAGGAAGAAAAGAAAACAATTACCTTCCAATGTTAGAACTAAATGATGCAGAAGAAGGTCCTCAAGACAAATTAGATCGAATTACGGCAAAAATCTGGAGATCACCTGCTTGTTTGGAAATTCAACAAGCTTGGGTACATCCATTCTGTTTAAGACATTCTACCATTGAATCGGAATTTCAAAAGGTTTGTGTTGACCACTTATCATATTCACTCAAATATCTTATATATTGGTGCCTGGATGATCATGCATTTTGAACTAGAATAGAAATTATAATCAAGAATAATATATTTATATTTTTTGCAATGCAAACACTTTTGTTTAAACATGTTGATTGCTTGTAAGTATAATAGTATATATATATATATATATATATATATATATATATATATATAGTCATCATATATTGTATAAACATAAACGGTTCAGGACGGTCCTGAACGGTTCAGGAAACACATATCGTGTACCAACCGGTCGGCACGCGGTCTTCAATGTATTAAATAAAACTTTGAATAAATATAAAAGTTTCGTATGGAACCACCCCTTTTCAGTTAGATAGGGCGAAACAACATAAAATTTACTACATTTCCTTGAGAACACTTTCATACATACCGATTTAAAAAAAATTTGAATAAAACGACTTTGAATTCGATATTTCATTCTTTAGCAATAAATAGAAAATTCGGGACCTTTTTTTAGTTTTTGTGAAATAACTCAAAAATTTTATATGGAACCATCTTTTTTCAGTTAGATAGGGTGAAACTAGATAAAATTTACTACATTTCCTCTGGAACACTTTTATACACTCCGATATAAAAGTTTTGAATAAAACGATTTTGAATTCGATATTTCATTCTTTAGCAATAAATAGAAAATTCGGGACATTTTCGGAACAAATAACTCAAAAATTTCATATGGAACCAACCCTTTACAGTTAGATAGGGTGCAACTAGATAAAATTTGCTTTATTTCCTTGGGAACACTTTTATATACTCCGATATAAAAGTTTTGAATAAAACGACTTTGAAATAACTCAAAAATTTCATATGGAACCAACCCTTTTCAGTTAGATAGGGTGAAACTAGATAAAATTTACTACATTTCCTTGGGAACACTTTTATACATACCGATATAAAAGTTTTGAATAAAACGACTTTGAATTCGATATTTCATTCTTTAGCAATAAATAGAAAATTTGGGACATTTTTTTGTTTTTTTGTCAAATAACTCAAAAATTTCATATGGAACCATCTTTTTCAGTTAAATAGGGTGAAACTAGATAAAATTTACTACATTTCCTTGGGAATACTTTTATACATACCGATATAAAATAAAATAAAATAAAATAAATAAAAAATAAAAGTTTATTTGATAACACATTTCTATTTATTATAAATTCTATTTGATCGGTAAAGTGATCCTTTGATAGATTCGTTACAGACCTGGGAGTCGTGTCAGATCTTGGGCATAGATTGGGCATGCGTGTACACAAATCTAGGAACGCAAGGTGGAGGATTCTCCATGTCAGCACTCGCTTCCTTAATGGGCAGAGTTTCGGATGATAATCTGCGACGTTCTCTATTATCTGGTCTCAACAAGTGCGAAAAGTACTGGCGCGTTTACCGGTTCGAAGAAGCGAGGCGTATTTTAGCTCATGAAATACAACGCGAAGTGAGTATGTTCATTAATTTTTATAATATTCATATATATAATAATTAACTAGATGTAAGTGGTACTTTGCTTTGACAAGTTGCAAAAATTTATCGATATGTGCAAGTAATCGACATAAGAGCTCTTATCTAGATTTAACTATATTTAGTTTTTTTCATAAATTCGCACTGATAATAATATTTTCCATTTTACTACGAATTATATTAATAATCAATGCAATTTTCAATTATTGTGTGCTTCAAAAGACTCAAGTATTATTGTATTCTTCATTTACTGATATTATTATTTTTATAATGCCGGTAATTGAAGCATGTCCTAAAAGCGAGGCTTTCATTATTTTTCCAATGCAATCAATTTTTACAGTACAACTTTTGGTAGGACTATAATATTATGTTTAATGAACTTTGCCCAATGTACAAGATATTATGCTCAAGAAAACAATTTAAAAAAAACTTTATTGCTAAAATAAAAACGCCCAAAATCTTTTTAAATATTTAATTATAAACAAGAGCGGCTCGACCGATCTTAACCAAAGATTAGATGATCCCAACTGATATTTAAAATATCTCAAAATTTTCAAAATCTATTCAGGAGTTTTTGCAAAAACATGGACAAAAAATGCACTTTTATAGTTCAGTCATTATAGTAAGTTCACCTCGCAATTCGAGGTACCCAGCTGTACGTCTGTTGTCTCCCACCCTAAAAGTTGTCTCAAAACCTACATATTGTAGGGTGTACGTACCATATGTAGGTTTTGAGACAACTTTTATGGTGTCAATGATTATTATAAGTATTTTGTGAGAATTATATCATTCAAGGTAGAGCATAAAACCTACAATGGTGCACCAAGTTTTATTATCGGACGAAGACTGAGAGCTATTAATTATGATAGACTGCGCGCCATTCGTTTGAAAAAATTTAAAGCTACAGAAGTTTGTATGAATCCAAATTCTAATAGCCTTTTTCATAGACAAATAACTTTTAATTGCAAAATTTAAATTAGAAAAAGAAAAAGGAAGATAGAAACAGAATAAATAAAATATATAATCGCATAGCAGTATTGCAAAGCAAAAATAATCTCAATGAAATAGAGAAAGAAGAGCTCCTAAGGTTATTGCAGCCTGATATAACAAGTACACCAAAATATAGGTATATTTTCATTTACTTTCAATTTTAATTTCTGTGGACACTGACCGATTTTCCCAATGGCCATTTAAAATAGTTTCAAATGTTTCCATACTATGATTTGTCTCATTGTCAGATTAAATATAAATAAGTTATTATTTTAATCAAATGTGTAGCTACTGATTGTAATTTGTATTAAATATATACAAAAATTGTATATATATATTTATATATCATTCATTTTTAGACATTAAATGCAATTAAAAAAAGCCAAACTTAACGCCTAAATATTAGTATTATTCATTAATTTTGCAATCATAACGATAATTGATAATTTCAGATACCGATATTAAATTAGATCTTAAAATAAAGCTCAAAATAACTATCCAAACATTATCATTATAATTCATTAATAAAATATTTGCTATATTTAAGCATAATAGGAGCACACGTTGAAAGAGAGGAAAAAATAGAAACTGCATACAAAAATGAATTAGGTCAATGCATCGCCCAAGAAGTAGTTTTAGCCTGCGAGCCTAAAGTAATGGCTACAATATCCAAGTTATTAACAGCTTTAAGGGGTTAGAAAAAAACGTCATGGATGAAACATGTTTGCTAATAATGATTGAAGTAATTAGTATTTTTGTGTAGAAAAACAAACAAAATAAACTATAATGATATATTCTGATATATTAAGTTTTTATAATGAAATATTTTACTATAATTTTCGTATTATACTTCAATACATATTACATTTTATCATTATCATATATTCAAACATGATGCGAGAATTCTATGTAATAACAGTTGGAGAACAACGACCAGTATATTCTCGTAATCGAGATATGTTTAAAGCTAATTCAAGGAGAGGCTGCAGCGTGGACTGAACATCTTTATCAATATCAGTTTTCTCATAAGAATCTAAATATAACCTGACGGTAGTGCCAGAACTTCCAGTTCCACTTAATCTAATTATAAATCTTGAACCATCATCAAATATAAATCTTAGACCTTGTTTAGAAACAAAACTATCATCAATCGGATCTCTATAAGAATATTCATCAGCAGTTTTAACTTGATATTGTTTCTGTAAACTATCAAATTTTTTTCCTATTATACTAGGATCAGAAATTACATCAAACAAGTATTTCATCATTTCATCACAGCTCTCAGTTGAACATTCTTCATAGTCATATCGCAAAAAATAATTCCTGCCATATAACTTCCAGTGGTCTGATAAAATATCTTTAATTTCTTTATTTGTGTGTTTCATGATTGATAACCAAGCTAATAAGGCCCAAACACCATCTTTTTCTCTTATATGATCAGAACCAGTACCAAAACTTTCCTCTCCACAAAGAGACAATTTTCCAGCATCCATTAAATTTCCAAAATATTTCCAACCTGTAGGAACTTCATATATATCAATTCCCAATTGAGAGGCAACATTATCAATAGCTGTAGACGTGGGCATACTTCGAGCAAAACCTTTGACACCATTTTGAGAGAAATATGGTATGCATTTCAAATGGTGGGCCAAAACTGCTAAAGAATCACTAGGTGTTACAAATACAGGTCCACGACCAATAATCATATTACGATCTCCATCCCCATCAAATGCTGCCCCGATATGGCAATTTTCATTGCCTACTCTATCCACAAGAGTCTTTGCATAAGTTAAATTGGGATCTGGGTGAATGTTACCAAAATCTGGAAGAGGTTTCATTCTTGTGATACTGCTTTTATCACATTTTAATTCTTGAACAAATATTCTTTCTACGTAAGGGCCAGTAACACCGTTCATGGAATCAATCAACAATTTCAAAGGACTTCCATCAAAACCATTGGCAATGAAACTTTGAATGCCATGGAAATCAAATATAGTTTTCATTAAATTTATATAGTCTTCCAACGGGTCGATTACTGAAATAGAAAACTCTTGACCTTCAATATTGTAAGAATAATTTCCAATAATGTCAATATTACATTGCAAATTATTACAAATTTTGTAATCAGATAGAATTTTTGACAACTCAAAAATATCTGCAGTTAAATTATCTGGTGCGGGGCCACCATTTTCACAATTGAATTTTATTCCAAAGTCATTTTCTACACCACCTGGATTGTGAGAAGCAGTTAAAATGATTCCTCCGAGTGTTTTATGTAGTCGTATGAGATTTGAAGCAGCAGGTGTAGATAAAATGCCATTCTGACCCACAATTAATTTGGAAACTTTATTTGCAGCGCAAATTTGAATAATAATTTGAATGGCTTCTTTCATATAGTACCTGCCATCTCCACCAATAATTAACGTGCAGCCATCAACGCGATTCCCAAGAGCATTTAAAATGCTTTGAACAAAATTAATGGTGTAATTTTGTTGCAGAAACACTTTCACCTTTTTTCTCAAACCACTCGTACCCGGTTTTTGGTCAAAATAAGGAGTGGTAGGTAATCTCTCGATATGATAGGACATTTTATTTGAAATTGTAACCAAAGTGGTTTGCGCTGGAACAATGTAATGAAGGTGAACTAAAGGTTGTCAAAAGCGTTCGCGGTTATCGTCAGTTATCATTAAATGACAGCCGAAAATAGATTTCGTTATTTTATCAAAAAACAATAAATATCGACGACGAATTCAACGGAAATTATTCAAAACTAAAATAAGAAAAATGTATGCGCAAGAATCCAAAGTTGCTTACCTGTGGCTGTCACAATCCTCAACACACTGACACATGCATCGGATATCGGATGTAGTTGGATTTTTTATAGTTCACTATTTTGACATTTATCTTCGTACATAATTTCTATTTACAAACTTTTATATCATAGTGAATGTATTCTGTAATGTTAATTTAGTTAAAATACTCTACCACATTTGTTCTGAAAATGAAGGAATCAGATGATATGTCAAGTAAATGTTTAATATGTAACAAGAATTCTTGTAATGATCTTCATGATATTTTTGATACAAGGTCAAAATATTCAAATACTTGTTTATATGTTTTTATTGAAAGATTTACAAAGCTCAATTTAAGAGATTTAGGTAAATCAGAAATTTGTGATATATGTATTAAAGAGTTAAACAGCTTTGATTCAGCAGAGCTAAAATGCTTGAGAATACAAGATGAAATATTAAAATTGTTCAATGATACTCTGAAGAATTCTTTAAAATGCGAATTAGATAATTCAGAAGAGTTTTCTGAAAATTTTTTTGAGGACGTGGTTAGTAACAGTGAATCTATAGAAGATCAAAAAATTGATGTGGATACAAGTAATGGAGTGACTGAAGCTGAACCCATTCCAGAGCATAATGAACGCAAATTACGTAGAACTCGTAATTCAACACAAATTATAGAAAATGATTCAGATACGTATCAAACAAAAAAGGTAAAAATTGAACGAAAAGTTAGAGTCAAAAAGGAACCCATTATACATGAATGCGAAATATGTCAAAAACAATTCAAGACAAAAGGTATAAAACAAATTTTAATTTTATCAGTAGTGAGCAATTCAAATCAAAGAGTTTGTCCAAATGATTATGAACATAAGTATAATATTGCCAGATACAAGTATCAAATTTTTTTGTATAAAAAAATGATATTTGTTCAATAATATTTTAACTACTATTAATCCCATTAGCTCCATATTCATAAAGTACTAAATTACAAATATTTTGAGACTTTTATTTATCACATTTTTAGTGTAATTTTAATATGGATAGTAACAATTTAATCTGACTATACTATAACCTTTATGGAGCAAAGTCCTTTATCCATTATTTGTATCTAATCCTTGAACATTGATTCCTTGAAAAAATTGTTAAAGATATTTTACAATAAAGTAACTGTAGATATTCGTAGTAGTGTGTAAAAAATAAAATTTCTGAATTTAAATGATTATTTTCCCTATCTTCACTATGAATATTGCAATAATATATTCAGATGTTCAATATAATATTGAGACAACTTAATCTAATTTTATGTCTTTAATAACAGTTCTTTCAACAAATAATTAAGTGGATTGCTGACTGCTGAATTAATAACTAGTTAATAATAAAATGAATATAAAAAATACATTCACAGCACAATTAAAATCACATGCTAATTCACATAATGATGTTCGGCCTTACGTGTGCGAATTATGTGGTCAAGCTTACAGACACAAAGGTGCTTTACAAATTCATATAGTAATGCATTCTGGTCTAAGTCCATATCAGTGCTTAACATGTGGTAAGCAATTCACTCAGAAAGGAGCCTTAAAACGTCACGGCAACATTCACTTGGGTGTTCCTAAGCATCAGGTAAAACATACTGAAATAAAATTTGTAAACATACAAATTTAAAAAAATACTTTACAGACATTTAAGTATTATATTTATTTTTAATTATTACTGAGTGTTGATTATTACATTAATAATTGCAGTGTGACCAGTGTGGCAAACAATTTATACACCGTACTTCATTTCAAATGCATATTCTTGCACACTCTAACATACGAGACTATACATGCAGTACATGTGGTTTAGCATTACGCTCCTCATCTCATTTAAATCGACACAAAAGAACTCATAGTGGTGAACGCAAACACCCCTGCAATATGTGTGGAAAGAGTTTTGTGGAAAGGTCGGCTATTGTACTTTACAATACATCTATAAGATCATACATTTTCAGAGTTTATAGAAAAACTTGTTCAAGCTTTATATAAAAAAAAAAAAAAGAAATGAATGTAATTTCAATACTTTTCTGAGATAACTGAAAAACAACATCTTTATTAATTGTACTTATTATATTTTGTGTACATAAAACTTAAAACAATTTTATAGCTGAGGAAATGCTTGAACTTCAAATCATTCAAAAATTTTAAAATATCTTTTAACAAGTGTTTTCCTTAATTTTTAATATTTTTGTAGACTATTAAATTTCAAATTGCAATTAATACCTTCTTTCATTTTTCTTATCCAGGTACAACCTTTTAGCCCATATGAGAACTCATGATGATCAATCAAAACCAAATTCAAATAGCAAGCATCAATGTCCAATATGTTTTCTGAACTTCCAAAGAAGACGGAAATTAGAAGATCATTTAAAAAATGCACACAACACCATACCCAATCAAAACACTTCTGCTAATGATATGATAGTACCTTTGCAACAAGTTCCCATGAGCATTGAATCAAATTTATCATCTATCGATTGTGCAGATGTATGTTCTGTGAAATTGGAATGTTAATATTTTATTATTATTAATAATAACATATACTTCATTTGTATATTTAAATATATACAAACTCATAAAATTTATATAAATATATATATATTATTTACCCGTACTAAACGTGCAATAATGTTTTGAAATTAAGATGTTTTTGAAAGTTTGTATTATTTAGCATAGTCTATAATCATGTTTGGCAAAATATTATTTTTCATATTTTATGTTAAATTAATTTATCATATATAGAAATTTAGAATAAAAATTAAAACTTACTGCTTTTGTATCATTAAACTATTTATTGATATATACTAGATAATATTTATCATCCAACATTTTTAAAATGTGTAGAGTTTGCACATGTTTTTATCTTGTTTAATAATTATAAGACAACACAGAAATAATAATGCCTGTATGTAATGGCATTATATTATTCAAAAACAGATGTTTCAATATAATTTAAATATTTTATCTTAATGTTAATTCTATTGTTAGGTTATTTAATTTAAACATAAATAAAAAATGTGCATATGCTCTTCATTGAAGTTATAAATTGAATATAAAATTATATTTATACATAGCATTGCAAATGGAATTGTTTGAGAGCTGCGCACAAAAGTTTCATTGGCATGATGCATATTACTACTACACTTCTTAAAACTCATTATCGTCTCTGCATTTTACATATTGAATATGTCCTATAAGTTGTAGATGCAATAAAACAATAAAATTACTAATCTATATTAATTTGTATTTTATATAAGTTATGAATAATGCGTGTATACAAAGTTTTATCATGTAAAAATTGTTCCCATTAACCTTGTTATGTTTATATAATTCGAAGAAAATCATATTTAAAAAAAAATTTAATAAATAAATATTGATATAAAATTATAAAAAATGGTTTATACTAATGCTATGATAAATAGCATTTACTTTTATCACTAGTATTTGGTGAGGTACTTCTTGGCCTATAAGCCACACGAGTAGTGGCTTCCCGAAAAACTATTTTGTTAATAATATAATGAAAAAGCTAAAATAAATTGTTACAATTTCACAGGGTAGATATTATAAAGCATTGAATTTTTTTGGAAAGGTCAAGAACACAGGTCAAAAGTTTGCAAAATATTGATTGAAGGCAAAATTTATATATTTTTATTAAATTATTAGTAAAATAATGTTACAAGATAATATAATAAAGTTACCATATTTTGATCTTGAATTCCTTTTGTATTTATTAAAGGTTTAGCATTCTTGGTAGATAAATTTCGGTCAGCAGCTGCATTATACATTTTAGCTCTAATTGTTGCTTTAGAACCAATACAATTATGATCCGCTGTATGACGATGCCGTAAGCAAAAGTTGTTATCACATTCAGGGCATAAAACAGGTATAATTTCCTTTGTTTTACAACCTTTTAGAGTGCATTTGTTTGTAAAAACCTGTGAAAAAACATGCATTTGAAATATTAGGCTGTAAAAAGTAAAACAGAAAACACCTTAATAATTGTACCTTTCTCTCCTTTGATGGATCCCATCTACAATCTCTATCTATATGAGCACCCACTGCAACATCAGGTTGTTGGTTTCTAGGTATGGGAACAGGCATTCCACATAATGGACATTCAGGAACTTGCACATTGTTTTTAAAAGCATTTGAACAAAAATGTGCACTATACTTAAAGTGATCATTGCTGGAAAAATAAAAATATTTAAATAAATAAGTCATTTTTTCAAAAAATATCAAAGCACTTACCAATATAAGTTACTGCAACCATCACATTTTATTGGTAAAAAATCTAAAATGACAAGAATTCCATTAAATTATATAAACTAATTAGTACAAGTTAAGTATAAAGAAATACCTAATTTTTTACATGAAGGCTCAGAGCAATGACATCCTAATTTAGGAAATTCCATTGCCTACTACAATGAACTAGTAAATTTTGTCGATTATATAGCTATTAATATTTTGTAACTCCAGGACGTTGAACATGACATATCAAAATTAAATCTAGAAATTTACTGTATTTGATGAGTCAATAATCTGACAGCTAAGAATAAGAGTATTCACATGATGACATTTTTAAAATTTTGAGACAAGCGAAATTATACCATCCTGACCAACATATTCCCTCCTGTCAATTCCACATTGTGGAGAACTTCATATGTATTATGATCGTTTGAATTGACAGTTTGTGACGTTTATATTATTGATATTTATAATAAATATCCTATATATATATATATATATATATATATATATATATATATATATGTTACAGTAAATGTGAGTATTTCGGTGAATGTGCACATTTACCGGCTCATTTGGCGAATGTGAGTTCAACGTGCGGGTGAAATACTAAATCATATATTTATATTTATATTTACATGTATATGTATATGTATATTATTTATATTTATATTTATGTTTATGTTTATATTTATATTTATATTATTTATTTTAGTCATATGAATATTAATATCCATTATTCATTATTCACTATTAATTAACTATTTATCATTAACAATTTATCTATTAACTATTAACTATGTAATTAATAGCTATTAACAATTTAACCATTAACTATTCTTAATTTACTATTTACTATTGACTATTCAGTTATCACTATTCACTATTTTACTATTCAACTAGTTACTATTAACTATTAACTATTCGCTATTTACTATTAACTATTCAGTTATCACTATTCACTATTCAGTATTTTACACTTCAACTATTCACTATTAACTATTCACTATTCACTATTTAATTATACAAAATTCAACTATTCTTAATTCACTATTTACTAATAACTATTCACTATTTACTATTAACTATTCACTATTTAACTATTCAGTTAATACTATTTACTATTTACTATTAACTGTTCACTATTTACTATTCATCTATTTAACTATTAACTATTAACTATTTAGTTATTACTATTCACTATTCACTATTTACTTTTTACTATTCACCATTAACTATTTAACTATTTACTATTGAACTATTTACTTTTTAACTATTAACTATTTACTTATAACTATTTAACTATTAGCTATTCACTATTTAACTATTCTAAATTCACTACTTACTAATAGCTATTCACTTATTACTATTCACTATTAATTATTCACTATTCAACTACTCACTATTTAACTATTCAGTTATCACTAATCACAATTTACTATTTTACTAACAATTAATTATTAACTATTTGCTATTTAATATTATTTATTCACTATACCCTATGTTATCTCTTTACTATTCAACTATTCAACTATTCGTTATTAACTAATAACCAAATAACTATTTAGTGCGCATGCGCCAAATACGCAAGATGTTCATGAGACCGATCCAAGTACGCACGTACACCATTATTTTAATTTGTTTGTTTGAGAACTCCACATTCACCTAGCGTTTTGGAGAATGTGCACATTCACCAAGAGCGCACATTTACCGTAAAATATATATATAGATATATATATATATATATATATATATATATATATATATATATATAATAGCATCTTATGTATTTAAATTAAAAAACCTAGATAAATTATTTAGTAAAAAATGCAAAGATATACTTCCAGATGTAATAAAGTAATCAATAAATATTTTAGCTTTTTATATATCGTGAGCAAATGCATTTGAGACAAACAGTATGATAAATTTTTTTTTACAATAGTATTATAAGTCTAATTTTGGCAAGGTAAGAAATCGGACTCATTTGAGATATGATTTTTATATTTATATATAAAAAATATAACCTTGATTTTCATTTTAATCTTCAAAGTGCTGATTCTAGAACCTTTTTGCTAGAACTAAATCTATTGTGTGTTCTCATATGTTGAATAAGTGCACCCGAGCTACGTTGTCCTTTGTTGCAAATTTTGCAAATATATGGCCTCTCTCCGGTATGTGTCCTCATATGCACTTTTAAAGAATTCAAAGTTTGTATGGAAAGAGCATGGAAAAAAATGTTGAAAATTTAAAAAAAATGTTTTAGGTATAACTCAGCGACAAATGAATGAGTTTTATTCATTCATTTGTTCGCTAAATCACATCTAAAAACATTTTTCAAATTTTTGAAAATTTTTCCATGCTCTTTCCATACAAACTTTGATTGAATTGCGCTCTATCTAAACGTTAATATCAAGAGCTAAAACTTTCAGATAATTGTTTTTTATCTATTTGGAACCATTTGAGCCCCTGGGAGCAAGGAAATTCGAAAATGACCATTTTAAGGACCACCCTAATATATATATATATATATACACAATTTATAGTTCAAATAACACCTGGCAGATATAAGGCTTCTCTCCAGTGTGTGTACGTCTGTGAACATTTAAATCTCCTCTTTGGGCAAACGTGCTCTGGCATATTTCACATTTATAGGGTTTCACATCTGTATGTTTTCTTAATATGTGTGAACGTAAATGCTCTGATCTATTAAATCTTGCTCCGCAATCTGTACAAGTATGTGATCTGATAATATTAAAAAATAACGAATAAAGCTGATATTTATGGTATTATTCTTGCTTTTATGTATATTAGAATAAATAAAAATATTAGGCATACCTATCTCCAGCCGAATGAGTTCTCAAGTGATTTTCTAAAGCTGTGCTCAATGAAAAGTTTTGCTTGCAAATATCACAAGAATACTGGCGAGTATGCTGTTTCATGTGATTTGTAAGTAATGTTGAAGTATCAAAAATGTCATTACATAACTTACAAATATGCTGGTAACTACCAATTTCAGAATCATGATAAGCACTATGCACCTTCTCAGAATGTATACATAAATTACCTTTAAAATAAATAACATTATTTGCCAGAGTTAACATACTTTTATTATTAATTCGACAATATTATTTATATTTCAACTTATATTTTTTTTTTACTTTATAAAAAGAATCCCCAAATGATTTAAAAATAAATTAATCTAATATAAATTAAGTTATGTTAAACTACATTTTCCTCAAGAAAATTTTTATGAAAAATTGCTGTACATTCTTATACCTGAATGTGTCCGAGTGTGTATAACCAGTGCACTACGGTGAGCAAATGTTTTAGCACATTGAAGACAAGAGTAAGGCTTTTCATTGCTATGCTGCCTCATATGAACTTTAAGATTATATTTAATAGCAAATTGTTTTCCACATTCATTGCACAAATATGGAGTCTCTTTGGTATGAATTTTTTCATGATTTTGAAGATGATGTGCATGATTAAATCCTACAATTATTTCAAGTATTTATAAAAATAAATTTGATAAATTTTATATAATTGTTAATACCTTTTGAACAAAATTTGCATAAGTATTTTTTTACTGCTTTATGTGTGATCAGATGCTGTCTTAAATTTTTTTTATGCTTGAAAACTTTTTGGCATATATGACATTCTGCTTTCCCATCAACATTATGAGTTAAAATCAAATGAGTTAATATTTCCTCTGCATCAAAAGCTTTAGAACAAGAGTTTCTCTTTGGTATTAGCAAATTGTTTTCCACATTCATTGCACAAATATGGAGTCTCTTTGGTATGAATTTTTTCATGATTTTGAAGATGATGTGCATGATTAAATCCTACAATTATTTCAAGTATTTATAAAAATAAATTTGATAAATTTTATATAATTGTTAATACCTTTTGAACAAAATTTGCATAAGTATTTTTTTACTGCTTTATGTGTGATCAGATGCTGTCTTAAATTTTTTTTATGCTTGAAAACTTTTTGGCATATATGACATTCTGCTTTCCCATCAACATTATGAGTTAAAATCAAATGAGTTAATAATTCTTCCTCTGCATCAAAAGCTTTAGAACAATGAGTTAACGGACAGTAAAATGATTGTTTTTTCTGAAATAAATCAATACTGTCTGTTTTTAACTCTGGCACTTCTACTTTATTCAAAATTAAATTATCGCCTTCTTCATTCATTTCTGGAATTATTAAACGTAAATATATATTTGAGTTGTCATTGTATATGTAGTAAACTCTTGAAATTGAAAAGGCAATCATACCTTTAATTTCTTTAGTCTCTGTCTGTGGTGGTATTTTACTAAAATATAGAATTTTAATTAAAAAATGTATGTAGGTATAAAAAATTATATATATATATAAATATATATATATATATTATTATATATATATATAATAATAATTAAGTATAGAAATACCTAGCTGCATTTGTATATGGATTTTAGATAAATGGTTCTTCAAATCCATCAGATTCAGAAATTTATTATTACAATATCCACATATAAACTGCAATAGTTCTATGTGTTCATCAACAATATGAGATTGAAGTTGACTATTTGAATTTTAAATTGTCATCATTATGTACACATATATATATATATATATATATATATATATATATATATATATATATATATATATATATATATATATATATATTATTACCTTATTTGGTTAAATACTTTGAAGCAAAATTGACAATTCATTCCTTGATCACTACTGATTTGAGATTTATATTGAGCACACAAATCTTCTGCTTTACAAAAAAATTTATCACAGCAGCACAAAAATAATTTGTCGTTTATATTTTCTTTGAAATTGTCATTACTACTAGAAGGTATATTTCCAATATTATTATCGTTATTTTGAATATCATTTAGAATTAGTTTATTAATATATCCATTATTTTGTTTAATGTTGTAGCGAAGTAGAAAATCTATTTGCGATGCATTTTGCATAAATTTAAAAATAGTTTGTAGTTGTTCTGAGCAGTTTTTACAAATTTGTTGTGGCAAACCATCAGTTTTGGAAATCTGTTTAGAAGAATTTTTTTTAAAAGATTAAGATATATAAACCATGTATATACAATAGCGTTTAATTACATTTATCTTCGAAAAATATGTAATCATATATTTATAACTAGGCAACTTATTGTTCACATTTTCAGCAAATATATCAATCATTCTTGTGTCAATTTTAAGACAAGTTCGGCAAACATTTTGTACTTTAACATAATCGTCACTCATATTTTTATTAACTATAAACCTTAGACAATGTTAGAATACTAGAAAACTATAAACTAAATTTTTGATTTTTTGACAACTGTGAACTAGGATTAGAGTGAAGTGTGTTACGAAAAGTCTTGAAATACAAATGGCAGCAGACAGAAGTCAAATAACCTAAAACGTGTTTTATTCACGTGTGTTAAATTTTTGAGAATATTGATTTCACTTTATTTATGTCGTGTAAAAATAATGGGTAAAGCAAAGAAAATAAAAGTTTCAAAGAATCTAAAAAAGGTTTCTTTGGAACAGCAAATTAACGATGCCCAATTTGTGAAACCAAAAAATAGAGAAAAGATCAGGTTCACCAGAGACAACGATGAAGAGGTTTATAAACTTTATTAAAATGAAATATTTAAGTATAACTTTCATATAAATTTAATATTTGATTTAGTTTGTAGACTCAAGTTTGTCACATAAAATTTTAAAAGCTGCTAGAGAACAACAAATTGAAATTGAAAGTGCTGGGTCCAGTTTGAGTCGTGAAAAGACAGTCAACTTAGACATTGGTATATCTCAAAATTCTAAATAATAATAGATATAATTATATTTTTATATTCAATGCATAATTTTATATATGCTTTTTAATTTGACATATGTTGTCTTATATAATTATTAACAGTTTGTAGTTTCATAAAAAAAAAAAACTATAATCTAAAAAACTGTTATAGGAAATGATTCTGATAGTGATGATGGTTCAGAAGAAGAAAATTTTTCTGCCGTTACATATTATGAAAATATTGAAATCAACGAAGATGATGAACGAGCTATGCAATTATTTATGTCAAAAAATCCTGTTCAACAACGAACATTGGCAGATATTATAATGGAAAGCATTACCGAAAAACGAACAGAATTGCAAACACAGTTCTCTGATGCCAAAAGTGTTCAAATACAGGATATAGACCCTAGGTAATTTTAAAAATAATTGAGAAAGTAAATCACAAATTTCTATTCACAATGTGGAATTTTTATCACTATTGATTCTTGCAGAGTAAAAGCTATGTATGAAGGTGTACGAGATATTCTTCAGAAGTATCGAAGTGGTAAATTACCAAAAGCTTTTAAAATAATTCCAAATCTTAGAAATTGGGAACAAATTTTATACATAACTGATCCTCCAAGCTGGTCAGCGGCTGCAATGTATCAAGCTACTAGAATATTTGCTTCAAATCTAAAAGAAAAAATGGCTCAAAGATTTTACAATCTTGTTCTTTTACCAAGGATTAGAGATGATTTAGCAGAATATAAAAGATTGAACTTTCATTTGTATCAAGCCTACGAAAAGCCCTATTTAAACCAGGAAGTTTTATGAAGGGTTTGATTTTGCCATTGTTGGAGGTAATGCTTAATATTATCTCAATTTTTTAAATTTATTAATATAAATAGAATAGTTACAAGCATAGTCAATTAACTATTTAGATATGAAATGAACATACATGTTATTCTTCTTTTTCTGTTACTAATTTATTAAAATTAGTAATGGAATATTCCATAATGAATATCTTCCTTTTCTCTTCAGGCTGGCGATTGTACTCTAAGGGAAGCCATTATTATTGGATCTGTTATTGCTAAGAATTCAATACCAATGCTACACTCTTCTGCTGCCCTCTTAAAAATAGCTGAGCTAGACTATACTGGTGCAAATTCTATATTTTTGAGAATCTTTTTAGATAAAAAATATGCTCTTCCATACAGGGTTGTAGATGCAGTAGTGTTTCATTTTTTGAGGTTTATAATTTTTTGATCACTCTCATCAATATAACAAAATTATTAATCTTTTGATAATTAATTTTCTGTTCTAATAGGTTTGAAAGAGACACACGTGAACTGCCCGTATTATGGCATCAAGCATTCTTGACCTTTGCACAACGTTATAAAGAAGATATATCAAGTGAACAAAGAGAATCTTTATTGGGATTGTTGAAAGTACATAATCACCATACCATAACTTCCGAAATAAGGAGAGAACTACAATCTGCCAAATGTAGAGATTTAGAAGTACTAGAACCACAATCTGATAATATGGATTATCAAATGCAAGATTAAACCACTACAATAAAATTAATTTATACATTTTTCAGAAATATCACAAAGCACAAAATATATTTACAAATAAATCATAACAAATACAAACAAATCATTCAAAGGTACAACTTGTATCTATTATCTTTAATTATTAAAACAAAAAATCTACAAGAGTAATTTAAGATCTATTTAACCACATAACAGTTTTAAGAAGTATATATGCAATTCCAACTGCATATATAATTTTTTCACGTTGTTGCCTTTGAATATAATCTAATTCTATTGCTAGAACCCTTCTGTTTAATTTTGCCATCTGCCTTCGAAGATGTAAAACTTCTTCTGAGGGACTCAATCCTTCACCAGAAGGACCAATGGGTGGAGTTGCCTCCCTAAAGAAAAATAAAATAGCTTATGTCTAATAGTTTTTATAAATCATGATTAAATTCATTCAAAGCTACAAAAGCAATCAAATCATCTGCAAAGGAAAATAACATCTTCAATACCCAATAAATAAATTAGCAGTATAAGATGATCAAAATTTGTGTTTAATTTATAACAGTTCAATCATCGTCTAACACTAATTATCTCACCTTTGTGTCACTTGTCCCATTCCATAATACTGCTTTGAATGAGACATATTATGAGTCATATATAAACTATCATCGAGATCAGTTACACCACCTTTTGTTGGTGGCATTTTTGCAGTGTCAGGAGATTTTTGAGAAAAGTACATCATATTGCTTGGAGGGGTTTCGTCTGCTGTTGGAAAGTAATGTTCAGAAAGCGTTAGAACCCGGGGAGGTGTACCCACTCGAACAACTTCATCATCAGGTGCTGGTGGAAGAATTGATTGCTCTAGTATTATTTCAATGGGGTGGCTTTTACTACCTAAAGATAAAAAATAACTTTTTAAAATGAATATCTAAAATATTACATGAATAATTGAATAAAGTATATTTATCTATTGATACTGAGTTGAGTATTGAGAAGCACATATACTCTATTAAATATTTATATATATACATGAAAATTTTTTTTTGTCAAATGTACAAACCAATATGTTGCTCCTGTCCTGCTACCATTATTCTGTCAGGAACCCTCATATCAAAGTTATCAGAGTGCCCTGACCACCCAATAGGATTTGAATTATGTTGTAGTTCATCTTCAATTGTATCTCCTGTACCACGAATTTTTTTCGGCACCCGCATTTTTCGGCTTATGTCTTTCGTAAAATCAACATCGTAAATCTCTTTTTCTGCAGGATAGTGTAGTGGGCTAGATGTATCAGACATCGGTACTTTCTTAGGTACAGAACTACGAATTAAATCATTTAACTCAACTCTCCAAACTCTGATAACGACAAAGCAATATTAATTATCAATACATGCATATACTAATACCTCAATATTAAAAAAAACTATTCTAAATTATGTAGCATGTAATTACTGTCGCTGAAAATAAACTTACATCTAACATAGCTCTTGTTTGATACACTGTCACTCGATGTTTGAGAACCTCTCCGCCTAGTAAGACTTTGCCCAGTATTGCCTCATGCGTTGGCCGTTATCCATTAGCGCCGATTTCAAATTGTAAATCATAAACTACGGTAATAGCACAGATAAATAAGTATTAATAGTAATAGTTTATTTTTACACTTTATTCTTTCTATATATAATGGATTTTATATCACACATTTTATTTAAAATCATTTATGAGAGATAATCATACCTAAATTAAATATATATATTTATTAAAAACTATATACTTACATATTCATCATATTAAATCGTCATCAAAATCATTAATATTTTTGCTTTTATGTGGGAATCTATAATGTGATTTTTCTAGAATCTATGAACGAACACTTTGAAATGTTCAAATGATTGGACTTTCTAAATAGAATTTATTGGATATTGTAGGTTTCTAAAATATAAATTCCATGTTAAAATCTGATATAGAAATTTATTATATCTAGTCAAGTTAGTTCAAATTACATCCAAATTATGTTTCAATTTCGGAGTTCTTTTGAAAGATTGTATAATATTTTGATTTATGGTCTTAGTCTTTATTTTTGATCTTGAATCATTTATCTGAAAATTGTTAATATTTTGCTACAATATTTTTTCTATTAGTAAATCTATTGTGATTGAAACGAACATTTAAGGTTGAAGAATCATCTTGATTAGTGTCTCTGTGTTGGCCACAAAGGGTCATGTGGGTATTCCAATGCTTTCGTTGGCATTCATGATCACAGTATGATGTATTCCAGCAACAATAAAACTGAGCTTCTTTCCCACAATAAACACACCTGCAGTTTTTAAATTAATTAAAAAATCTATTCTAATTTTCTTATAATAATGCTTACCATTGCTTGCTTTTAGCTTCTTGAACACACCGAATTCGCTCAGCTTCTGCCTTCTTTTTGTACTTTGTTATATTGTGAGCATTATCTATTTCAAAACTATTTCTTATTTCTAATAATATAAGCTCTGTAAAATGAAATATTCAATTATTAATAAATTGCACTCTATTATTTATTACTGTGAATTATTTATTTATTTACACTTTGAATTAAAAAGCAAAATAAGCAAATATAAATGTTTTTACAACATTTATCAGACGGAAAAATAAATATATTTCGGCATGTGTATAAGGTGTAGCTTATTATTTTTTATAATTGCAAACATTTTTTTTTTCAAAAAATAAAAGAGTTGAACAAATTACAGACCGACATTAAACTACTTAAGCTCACATTTCCTTACATTAAAACTCAGCTACAATTAACAATGCACTAAGAGAAAAAATTGTGCATTTAAAATACATAAATGAATAAAATATGTAAAATTGTTATTTTTTTGGTGTTGTTCTCATAGAAAATTATTTACCTGTATTGTGTTTTATTTCACTGAGTTCTTGCTTATGAATCCACTTCAAACTTTCAATATCAGCTTGTAATTTTTTAACTTGGGCATCTGTAGAACCAGCATTGCCAAAATCAACCAATGTTTGATGTAGCAAATTTTGAAAATATCTTGATAACTGCAAAGTAACTAATTAAAAATAGTTACAACTCATTTAAAGATTATTAGGAATTTACCTTAAGTGCATTCTCATTTATAATTTGTGAAACTGGACCACATTCTGATGGAAAACTTGTGTTTATAGATGTTGATAATGGACCGAAAGTAGTTCTATTTTCTTGCTTTTCTTCAACAGGTACATTGTGTGTCTGTAATCTGTAAATAAAGTTATCATATATTAAAAAAATACATGTTTTGAGTTAATTTAAAACATATTTTATTGGCATGTAAAAAGTGAAGTAGTAATTGTAACTTGCTACAATCAAATACAAAATAAAAGTTGTCCATATTGAGTGTCTGACATTTGTTTTTCAATGTACTTTTTGATGCTAAACATGAATTTCAAGTCAAAATTAGGGGTCAAACTGAATTCAGTTTCCGTTTGTAGAATCCTACAGCAACTCATACATATATATTTATTCCCTATTGCCCCTGCGTAATCTGCAAACATATTTGCAGTTATTTGAAAATATGTTTGTTGATAGCTACCGGATTCTACAAAAAGAAACTCAATAAAGTTGATAAAAGGGTTCCAGAAATCTGTTGCAAGGTTAAGTAAGGTAAAAAGATCCAGAAAATAATAGAAATTATAAGATATCATCATGTAGGAGAATTACTAAATCGGAAACTTTGCCTTTTTTTATCTTTATTTTTTTTCGTTTTTTTGCAGTTTGGCTCCCAATTTTGACTTCAGATTCGTATTCAGTATTAAAAAATACATTGGAAAACATATTGCAATATTGCAAACCTAATACAGACAACTTTATGTATTTGGTGGGCCTATATAATTAAATGAAGCAATGCAACAACTTACTATGCTCTTCTATGAGATCAGCACTTTTGAAAGCTGTACTATTATCAATTGTGGAAGAATTATTTCTTGGAGTATTACAAATCTTAATAGAAGCTTCTTGTCTTTTAGGTAACACAAATGCTGATGTTTGCTGTTGATTTGAGGATGCTGCTGATACTTGATACTTTGCTTCCACTTTAGGTGCTGTAGAATTTTGTGGTATATAAACCATACTCGCAGGATTAATACTTCCCGACTCCTTTGAATTATTTTTGGTTGCAGGCGATATATTCATCTTGGGTTTATTGGGAAAAGATTTTCTAGCAGATTGCTTTTTTGTAGAATTATCAATATATGCCTCAGTAGTGGATTCTGATGCATTATATGATTTATCGATATCATAATCATCAATTGGTTCAGTTTTAATTTCAACATCTAATGAGGATATTGTGCTGTCAGGTATAACAATAGCATTGCAAGGGGATGCCTTTTTAATTTCAATATTACTTATTCTATGCAAAGCATGTTCTTCCACTGATGATTTGTTATTAGTTTCAGTATTAGAATTCATTTTTGAGATGCTAACCCTTTTTACAAAACTGCTATTTTCTTGTATCATATTTCTTTTCTTTAATACTACTCTTGCAATAGAATTGGTTTTTATGTCATCAGTATTTTTATTTGTGTCAGGGCTCAATTTATTACTAACTGAATTTGATTTCGACACCCCCATTATACTAATTTGAGGTAGCTGGTTTACAATGGTGAGGGTATTAACTGCATTACTTTCTGCAACTTTATTGGGATTCAATTCATGCTCTGATACAAGGCAGTTAACATCTTCATCTTTATCACTTTTATTATCAAGTACTGAAACACTCTGACTAATTTCGGGAGTCTTTTCTTTGGAAATTTTGCTGACATTTTTAGTGGGTGTTGCTGATACAGTTTCTTGAATATCGTCTGGCTTAATTTTTTTCTCCTGCACTTCTAGACTGTTTGTACTTAGTTTTCTTTTATTAGTTTTACTATCATTATGCATCATAGTATCAGTAGCTTTTGTGTCATTATCGTCATTTTTTTGGGATGAAAATTCAGTTTTCATAGATTCTGGAGATTCTATCACTTGATCTTCCATATGTTCTTTCATAATTTTTATTACCTTTATTTTTCCTGTTGAATTAATTTTACCACCTCTCATTCTAACACGTGCACGCAAAGGTGTTTGTTTAATTTTCATATCATTTACATTATCAACAGATTCATTTGATACATCTTTTAGTGCTTCCTCATCTTCAGTATCATATCCTTCAATATAACTATCCTCATCTAACGAATTATTTATTTTCATGTTACCTTTTGTGTCCTCTAGTAGTTTATCCGTTATGTCACAAACTTTTTGTTTTGTTATTATTTTTTTATTTGCAATATCTGATTTGAATTTATATGAAGGTAGCATTATACTATAAATAGCTGCTTGATCATTAGGATATGGAGTTTTGAATGGTGCATGACAAAATTTTCCAAATTTTTGCTCAAGATTTTTCACATATATAGCTAACTCCTATAAATACATAATAATGAGAATATCAAATAAACATTATGTTTAATATTTCAATCATATAAATTTGACATATATCTTCAAAATCTGATTCATTTCTTCGATATTCAATATACTATATACAAGTATATGCATTATTACTATAAACATACATAAAGATATCTCACCACAAAGCAATATATTTCTTTATACTTTTTCATATTAAATTTAATGCTTTAATAAGATTAATCATTAAATAAAAATGTGACTTTGATATCAAAGATTTTACCCCCCCTTCGGTTGATTGAAGGTGATATAATTAAATATTTAAGCATAAAAACCAAAATATACTAACCCTAAGTGATTCGATGAAATCAGAGCGTTTTCCTTTATCACTGAAATTTGGATCTTTCTCACTATAAAGCAAGCAATCCTTCATAGGTATCCATGCTTTATCATGTGCTCCAAAAAATCTAACATCTACTAAATTGCCATTTGATACAGTCATTGCTTTTGCTGGCCAGTACGGATAACCTGTAGTAATAATTATTATTGAAAACTATTTAATAGTGATAACTAATTACTAAATATGAGTATATTTTATAAATGTATTGGTCTAAATCATTTAAGTTCAGAAACTAAAATCAAATTGAAAACTATTTTTATATACATAATATAATTTTGCTTACAAAGAGGAATAATTCGGTAAATATAAAAGCAAAATTACCTTTCAATTTTGCCCAAACCAGCATATGTGGATGTGAACACACCTCAAGGAACCAATTTGTATCATTGTGTGTATTTGCCTTAAGATAACATTCTGGGCATGTTTCTATTTCATTCATTTCCTGCTTACAAATTTTGATAATGCCTTTTGCCACACTGGTTAATTTTGTATGAACTGAAAACATTGTAGATTTTTTAGAACAGCTGGCTTGTATTTCAAACATCAATATTTATATATAGCAATTGCAACACATGCTGATATATTAATCATATATTGAGTAGTGATATCCATAACCGCAATACTTAAAATGAACATGCTGTGATATATCCAAAAATCAAACTTAAATCATCTCCAAGAACTTAGGTGTCGAGATATTCAATAAGATACCTTATGGATTAGATACCTTATGGAAACCAAGAACATTTTTAAAAATACTGTTAAAAATTATTTACTAAATAATCTTCATGTATTTTAAATGACAAATTATAACTAGTGGGGCGCATGGCATCTAGCCTTAAGGTAAATTGCTGGAACTTCAAATATTATTATTCTTTTAAAAACGATTAACATTTTTGAAAACAATTGACTTCAAAAAAATTATATTTTTGAGAAACTAGGAATTTGACAAAAAATTACTTTTTTTTTAAAAAAATGTTTTCTTTATTTTGACATATTTTGTAAATTCTGAACATTTTTTCAAAGCAATCGTACTGCTTTAACTGCATAGAGACAAAATGTCAAGCCTAAGCGCCGCGTCGCAGTCTAACGAATAAACATTGGTACAGAACCCATAGGAATGCAAACAAAATTTATATTAATTGTTAAAATCTCTATAAATATCTGATAATTTGATATGCATATGTCTAATGATCATTTTTGACCGCCAAATGGCATTTTTTTTTACTTTTTGTATTAGATCTCCGAAACCGCTGGACCTGCCTTTATGAAAATTTGATCAATTCTTCATCTTGTCAATACAACTAAAACGTTTTTTGAATTATTAAAATCGGACGCTCCGTTCTCTTAAAAACTGAGTTACCGTTTTTGGCACTTTTTGCCCCGTATCTTCGGAACGGCTAGACCTGCCTTCGCCAAAAACTAATCAACACGTCTCCTTATCAATATGAATCGAATGTTTTTTGAATTATTTATATCGGTTGATCGGTGTTCCCGAAATCGTCGACAAAAATTTGTATCCGCACACACACACATACATCCATTTTTTCTAAGGTATGCCAAAATGTTCAGAAACCTTTGAAACGTAAAGATATATAAAAATTTTCATTTTCTATTTTTTTGTGATTACTTTAACTTGCCCTACGGGAAGTTAATTATATAAATATGATGATAGTTTTGTCGATTACATTTGTATAACATGGGGTTAAAAAAAATGGCTATACAAATTCAAAGTATTTCTATATGCTTACTTGAATTGTATATAATGGAGTTGTGAAGTATCCATTTTGTATCAGCAATGAATGCTTCTGTGGATCCATATAAATTTTTTTTAATATTTTGCTCAAGTTTGCTCAAATCCATAGGATGAACTACATATTTTGCATAATCTGGGAATTCATTTTTGTCTACTGGATGTAAGAAGGGTTCTGCCTGTAAAAAAATCCTATTGAATATGGGAATATATTATACAAAATGTTAAAAGTACTTGTTATTTATATAATGTAAAAGATCATTTTTTTCAATGTATAAAGGCAAATTTTTATAATTTAGCTTTAATAATTATTAAACATTTTAAAAAAAATTATTCTCTTCTCCACCACAGAAATAAACATAAATTTACATAAATACCAAACAGAGCCGGCTGGGTATGAATTGGTCTTCACCAAACTTATTGTTTTTGGGACAGCAGTACATAATATTCATTGGAGACTGTTAACACACACACACACACACACATGTGTATATATATATATATATATATATATATCGAGGTCTGTTCAAAAAGTACCCGAATTTCGTTTTTTAAAAATATTTATTTATTCGTCACATTAATGTGGTCCCTTCAAAGTAGTCCCCCCCAGATATAATACACTTATGCCAGCGTTTTTTTCCATTTTCGAAGCACCCTTGTATTCACTTTTTGATATGTCCTTGATAGCACTCTCACGATTTTCTTCAATCGATAAAACGCCGTCCTTTCAGGTTCTCTTCAACTTTGGAATAGGAAAAAGTCACACGGAGCCATATCTGGTGAATTTTTGCCTTTGCAACACTTTATTTCATTTTTTACGCAAATTTAATACAATTCTTGACTTTCAATTCTTCCATTGTAAAAATCGCCGAGCTCAGAAAAACGTCGAACCTTAGGACTACCACAGACAAAGTAAACAGTGATATAGCTGAAATTCATCATACTTTGGGGCTGTATACCAACACAATAAAAAAAAAATTTGACATCAGACACTCCAGACCCGCGAAATTTAATTATTAGTAATTCTGGTACTTTTGAACAGACCTCGTATATATATTATATGTGATATAGTACTTTAAATAAAGGAATTAATTTAAATGTTTTATCACTTACCCCAAGATAATCAGTCATTCTTTTCAAAGCAAATTTCAATAGTTCACATAGTTACTAAGAGAACTTGTTTCATTGCATTTGATCTGAAAAAAAATCCTTTTCATTTAAATTGTTTATGAATTGGATTTGGCAGTGATAGTATTTCTTTAAAAGCCGATAATCCATATTTAAAGATTCATAAATACTATATACATACATAAATGTATATATATATATATATATATATATATATATATATATATATATATATTATATATATATAGTATTTAGTAGTCGTTTTTGATGTTGAAATATATGAGTGAGTTCTTCAAACAAGAAAAGGCAAAGATTTATAAAATAATCTTTAATTCCAAACGTTTCGACATTCAATTTAATGTCATCATCGTGGATATTGAACATGGTACTTTATATCTAAAATTGTGTACACATCACAGAAATTTGCACTAACATTGATACAACTAACAGTTGATAATCATGAATTTTTTAATAAGAAAAATAATGAGAGTTTTGTTTTGCAAAACTGTGGAAAATTTTTTTTAAGTATTTTTGCACAGATCAGAGGCTATGTAATCGCTGCAGATCCCGAGGTAAAATTGTTTTGTTTTAGGTCTCAAACATTCCGCACATGTATAAATCGTTGTCATTTGTAGTAAAAAAACATGTTACTCAAGTTACTTCAAAGAGTAGACCTTAGAAAAACATGTTTCGCACAATGAACTTTTTCACGGAACATTAAGGATGTAATGCAGGGTATCCTTGATATATATATAAATAAATTTAATATTGAATGATGCAAGTTATGAATAAATGCACTCATAATTACAAAAATTACATGAATATGCAATAAACAGTTAATCACCAAATAATAAATTACACTAATGTATTATTTTTACATTGTTAAAATATTTAAAATTAATTGAAAAAATAGTATTTTAAAATAAATGTGGCAAACCTGGTGTCAGTCGTTTCTGCTTGCACTATTGATACACATTCAGGACAACACCAATCATGTAGATCAGTTATATTACCTCGAACACAACGTTGATGGAATGATCTTGGGCATGTTTTACAAGAAACACTCACATCAGTTTTGTGACATTGCCAACAAAACATATCAGCAATATTATCCTAAAAAATATTTATAATATAATATTTGTTTTAATATTATATAATAATATTTATAACTACTATTTTGCATAATCTTGATTTATATAGATGTATCGCACAGAATTAGATAAAAACCAAATTCAACAAATTTAACAGTCATTCTACAGAAAATGTGTGATATTAAAAAAATACAAATACTATTTAAAAACCTTAGAATTAAATAACTTTTCAATTCACAGATCTTTTAGCATCAGTAGGTGTTTTTTAAAGATCTTACTTTATTACTTTTTGGTGTTTTATCTCCTTCATGGTTTTTGTCATTTTCATCTTCATTACTCAATATTTCTGTAGATTTCCTACCACTGTCCAATCCTTTATTTAGGCTAGGAGAGTTCAAAGATTTTCTGACTCTTTTTTTCTCTTTCTTTCACATTTGTGAACTCAGTAATAATTTTAGATTCTGCAGCAGCTTTATGCAGTCCCTTCAACTCACGACTGATTTTGGGTTTAGATAGACTGCCATCGCCTTTTGGAGATTGAAAAAGAGTACCTACAATTCAAAAAAAAAACTTATCAAGACAAAAATGTATTTTTATTATAAATATATAATATATATATATATATATATATAATATAATACATGTAATATATACATATGTGTGTGTACGAGTGTACTACCATTTAATTGAGAATATTACATATGTCATAATATTTTATGTTTTAGATAACCAATAACAAATAAAAACTTTTTACCTGTCTCCTCTGTGCTACTGATTTTCTCGGAACCTGAGGATTTGCTATCGTTATTAATATTTTCATCAAAACTATAATTCACATTTTTATTTTCTTCTTCATCAATTGCAATGTATATATGTGAAGTAGAATTTTCATTGTTATCTGATAGTTGTGATGAAGACGATACATCTAACCGATTTATCAGTTTCATGTTCAGAATCCATTTTATACTTATATTTTATAACATAAATCATAATACAGCATACATATTTAATAATATAATCCAATAGAATTTATATATACATTTTCACGTAATATAAACTTGCTTGTATTAATAACTGTTATATACCACAACATGCTAAAACATCTGCAAAATTAATTGTTGAAGAGGTCCCTTTAAATTTATGTAAAAATGCATCAACATTATTACTTATAATTTCATAATGTCATAATTTTTAAGAAATTTTGAGTACTTACTATAGTGATGCACAAATAAATCACAATCGGTTCAAAAGCATATATTTTACTCAAATGTTTTTAGCTTTAGCTTTTGTCATTTCACACATTATACACATAGACCAAATTAAATTACTCTTTCTTCACAGATGGGGCGTAAATCGCGCAACAAAATGGTGATAAGCGGACATGTATTAAAGCATGTACCAAGCCTACCAAGAAGTATGTTACTCCACAGCCATGATAAAACACACACATCTATATAAATATATGCTCTTTTCTTTTATATGCATATATTTGTTGGTTAATACTTAATTACTGTCATTCAATATACCAATTTATTGATGTTTATTCATTATTATTATTGGCACTCTGTCTGAATGCAGATCCGCATGAAGCAACACAATTTACCCCTTCTCCATACCTGGTTATGCATCACGTTCTCCTTCAAAAAGTTCTGCTTCCATAGTTCCGTTTCCTGTGGCTCGACTTTTAATTCATTTACTTTTCTGCCATAAGTCGTTCAACACATACAATGTT